GTGGACAGGTTCCTGAAGGGGGGTGGGCTTTTAATGGGGCCAGAGTGAGGGGAGAAAGATGGCATTAGCTGTAGAATGTTGAAGAGACTCAAGGGGAGTGGTGTGAGAATCATAAGGCCAGAAAGGAGGAGGTTGTTCCAGTCAAGACAGGGGCTGTAGGGCATGAACACTGGGTTCAGTAGGAAGAATGGAGAGGAAAAAGCATCTCTCTTGAGAAAGGAGATATCATTTTACAGTCCATTTTTCTGACCATGACTACACTTTGGCCTTTCTGTGCCTCAGTTTAATCTCTTAACCCTCTGTAACAATGGGTATAACAATCCTTGTCTACTACATCGGTATGTTGTGGTTAATAGATTATTTTCCAACATGCTTTGTGCCTCCACTGGAAGGTAAAAGCTAAGGGCAAAGTGCTTATGTAAAAGGTCCATTACATGGGGGGGTGGGGGGGTGTCACTTTAGCCAAAGGAGCTGATGTGGTGGGGAGACTCCCCTGGTTTATAGAAAATGATTTGGGTTCCTGTATGGGATTTTGAGTAAATCCCAGCTGTTGTTCCAGCAGGAGCTCTCTCTTTTCTCCCCATTGTGAATCAACTCTCTCTTGCTGTGGCTGAGCCCAGCAGTGCTAACATTGGGTTTGAACTGTGAGGCACAGGGAGAGGTTGTATTTAGAAAGAGACAATCATTGCAAGTCAGATTTGCTTGTTCAATACTCTATTGACAGATTTGCCTTGGCAACCTGGAGCAGGGCTTCATTGTGCGCGTCTTACCTCATGGCATCCTATTGATTTTTTTTTAAGCCTACCTACTCAGCCTTTCCTTGTCTCCCTCTTCAGCCTGCTGTGTGACCCCATGAAAGGGACTATTATCACCCGCATTTCAGACTGTCCCAGGCTTCAACAGCAAAGGCAAGCCAGGCCTGACAAAGGCAAAAAGGCACCTACACAGGCCTGACTCCTTGTGGGAATGAATGGGAACTAGTGAGAGCTGGAAACATCCCTTCCCCCAGGCCTCCAAGAACACAGTCACAAAGGCTAGTTGCAAAGCCCTGCTGGGTAGGCCCACTGTCCCATGGAGGAAATATTGGAGCTATTTATGAATTACAGTAGAACCTCAGAGTTACGAACACCTTGGGAAGGGAGTTTGTCCATAACTCTGAAATGTTTGTAACTCTGAACAAAACGTTCTGGTGGTTCTTGCGAAAGCTTACAACTGAACATTGACTTCATACAGCTTTGAAACTTCACTATGCTGAAGAAAAATGCTGCTTTTAACCATCCCAATGTAAATGAAACAAGCACAGAAATGGGTTCCTTCCCTTGTCAAATCTTTTTTAAACTTTCCCTTTGTTTTTTTAGTAGTTTATGTGTAACACAGCACTGAACTGTATTGGCTTTATTTTCTTTTGTCTCTACTGCTGCCTGGTTGTGTATGTCTGGTTCCAGAGGAGGGGTGTGGTTGACCAGTCAGTTTGTGACTCTGGTGTTTGTTACTCTGACGTTTTACTGGACCTTCCTGCTTTTGTCTTCAACCTGATGTGATACCGTATGGTTCCCAAGACGTCACCAGCCCTTCTGTAGAGGACAGAAAGAAAATCCGAACACCCACCCCGTAGCCTGGGTGTCTCCTCTGGGAGAGTCGCGGATTGGAGTTTAAAAAAGAATCTGTTTGAACTGCTGCTATTGCTATAGTTGAATGAGTGACATGAAAAATGGCTGCCTACGTAACCCGCGCTGCTTGGTAGCCGGTGTCTGGCAGCTCTGCAGAAGCTACTGGCATGGTAGGGGGAAGAGAAGATGTTACAGCTTTTCTTCCAGAGAGACAAAATTCAACCCAAAATCCATCCCTTATGCCCAGGTCTTTTTCAAGATAAACATTTATAAATAATAATTAAAATAATAAACCCAGATAGACAGCTGCTCAGTGGTAGAAGGTCAGAACATGGCTTGAAAGTATTTAAACAAAGTGGCTTTTGGTCTGATTCCTTAACACCTGCAGGAAATCCATCTGTCTCTGGCTATTATTATTTGTATTGCAGTACCAGTCAGAGACCCTAATCAGGATCAGAGCCTCACTGTGCTGTGCTCTGCACAAACATCAAATACAAAACAGTCCCAGCCCTAGGAGTTTACAATCTAAATGGGATCCTACAATCAGTTTCTCTATCTATTTCTGTCTAGTTGGAGTACAGTTGAGGGCAGAAGCTTAGCTTCTTAAAATGAGCACACGTACATTTACTCTGTTCTACAGATAAACAGTAATCGGAATAGTTCTTTGTGCTGGTGTACTTTAGAGACAAATACATTTTCACATTTTTGCTGTTTAGTAAATAATAAATAAAATGTGTTTTATTAAATTACCATTATCCTGGTTTTTGAAAGGCAGCAACATATCTCTCACTTCTTTACATTTGAAAACCTTTTTCTCTCTCATATTTGCAATATTTCCAGCATCTTGCTAAGAAGAGACAGCAGTTAAAAATATTCAGAAGAGCCAGCTCTCTTTATCTGGGATATTTGATGTGGTTTCACTGTCTATGGAATGAAATAAGGCATCATTTTTAGAAACTACAAGGGAAAGGATGTATCAGTTCATGAGCCTCCCGTATTTGAGTGAGGCAAAAAATACAAAATCACCACTATTATAATCATTACTGTCAAATCATGTGCAATCAGCCTCATAACAGAAACCAGATGAGCATCCTGCAGAAATCTATAGTGTCAGATTGGGTAGTGAACTATTTGAATCGTTAGAAATGGAATTATTAAAATGCTTTTAATGCTGGTTCTCACCTTTATATTTTACCAATAGCTTCGCATCTTGTACCTGAGGCAGGTTTTATGAGGGTGCAGAATGGATCTATTCATGTGGTTAGAAAAATAGAGAGAGACAGCTTTGGCCCCTTTTATTGTCTGTTCCCAGTTGCGCCTTAAGAAGAAATACCGAGCTGCTCAAAGCACACCCAGCCATTCAGAGTTCTGGGAAATCAGCTTGGGCCAGACTGCTGAGATGCCCCAATTTCTCTGCTGTGTTTCTAACTGCACATGTTTGAACACATTTTCCAGTTCACCCAGATTCGAGGGGGTTGCATCACAGTGTTCCACACCCTGGGCACTTCGTTTTCTTGCAAACATTTGGTTTTGCTCCACTTGTCTTTTTTGGCAACAGCAGAAGGTTGGCATGTCAAAGTGGGTTAACAAGCTGTAGGGGCATACATGTCAATGAAAATATAGTTTAGGGAAATTGCTCTTTAGTTAAAAAAATCCTTCTTGTATGTGCTTTATTTCAGCTGCTATTCCCAATAGATCATAATTTGTACACTAAGCCCCTTCAGACCTCCAGGGAAATCAAAATTGTAAGATCAGTTTGCTTTTTATTGGCTCAGTTCTGTGATAGCACAGGGACTGTCTTTGTTGTGCTTTTAGACACAGGTATTTATACACGGTGGCATTCAGCACTCCCCTTTGTTGTACACTCACATTTCCTTTCATTAAAAAGTAGTCCTCCTGTAAGTGACAAACCATTTCTTGGTACTGTCATTTTCTTTTCTGCTAAATGCTCAATGAAATCTTCTCACTAAACTTCACTTTGTGTTTCATTGTTTTCCCCCTTAAATCTATGGGGCGGAGTGATCTGCTCACCCACTTAGGAGCAGGACCCCAATCTGCTCTTATTTACACCAGTGTAAGTCTGGAATTTGAAGTCAGTGAGTCTAGGTAGAGAGCCCGCACAAGGCTTTCAGAACTTAAGTGATGTCTATGGCTTCTACACTCCCTCGTGGCAGGGATTCATTTTACCCTAAAGTTGGGGCAAATCAGGCCTGTCTGGGAGTTTGCTGTTCAGGAGAGGGAGTGGGCAGCTCAGGCCCTGTCTTTAGTGACTATTGGAAAGTGTCTTCAAGGTTTCAAGGACAAGAGCATTTGAACTTTAATTAGAGATCATCTCAACTAGGCAGCTGCTTTGGTCACTGTCACTTTGTTCCCCAGGTAAATTCAGGCAGTCAGGATTTCAGGGAGACCTGGGCTTTGCTGGCTAACTCTTCCTTTTTGCGGTAGGGAGAGGGGATACTCCCACTTGTGACCAGGACTGGGCTGGGGAAGCGGAATTCTGTTGAGGGAAGGGGGTACAGCCTTCCCTGGCAGCCAGCTGAGCCCACTCAGCATGTTTGCCTCTCACATGGCTTTGCTCTGGCCTGGCCACCTGCTCTCAAGCCAGGGCACTCCACTCTTGAGCCCCTGTTTGGCCACGCTCTGGGTGGGAGGATGTTCTCAATAGCAGCCATCGGGGACAGTGAGTTTCCCCTGGAAGCCCCACCTTGGGGAGTCTTCTGGCCAGCCGGAGGAGAAGGGTGACCACAAGTGCCTTGTGCTGCCTAGGAGCAAAGCCTGCTCGCTGTACCCCCCTCCGCTCACTCCAGCCCTGCCAGGCAGCTGGGCCCTGCCCCAAGCAGTCACTCCGCAACCCACACCTGAATGGGGCGCTCTCTGGGTCGCTGGAGCTTGGCCGAGGGAAGGTGAGGTGATTAGCTGGCTGTGCGGGCTCCTGGCAGGTACCGCGCGCGCCCCCTGCCCTTTACTCCTCTGTTTCTCCCGCAGATTGCGGTGGGCCTGCAGCGCCGTTTTTCCCTTTGCGCGGCTTCTTCCACCTTTGCGCTCTGTGCGCAGCTGCAGCTTCTGCGCCTTTTCCTTCTGCAGAAAAACTCGCCCTCGCCCTAAACCGTTACTATTTCCATCCCGGCCTCTTTGGCAGGCTTTTGCTAGCTACCTCCTACTCGCTGCCAAAGTGTCCTTCCTTTCCGCCTCCCTCCGTGTCCCACACGTGAGCTATAGGGAAGATGGATGGGTGTCAGGCGCAGCGCAGGAGACGTTGCTCATCGATTTTCAGTTGGAAAATGAATGGGCATTTGATTGCCTCCCTCCCCCACTCACTAGCAAAACAAACACACCTCTGTACAGAAGGAGGTAGGGCTAAAAGCCCCTCTGTGAATTGCAGACAGAGGCTAGGAGAAGCGGGGCGCTTTTATTTCCTTGCCACAGAGAACCAGGGCAAGTCAAGATCATCCCATCCTGGTGCTTCGCTGGACCCTGCTCATATGCGGTTCGCGCTGGAGATCCTCCTGAACAAGGGAAGGCTGGAGACAGGAGCAGAGCCCTCCTCCTTGGCTGCTTCCAGCCCGCTTCATTGCCGCGGCCCGGACGTGCTAATGGGGCGGGCGGAGCTGGGGCGAATGGTCAGTCTCGTTGTATCTCGGAGCTCCGCTGCTCTCCGACCCAGGCCTGGCTGGCGTCACCAAACCCTGCGGGGAGTCCCTGTGCGGTGATGTGCGGAAATCCCGTCTCTCCCCCGCGGGAAAGGGGCCCAGCCGCCCGCCATGCGATGGCCCAGTGACCATCCCTGCTCTGGGGGACCTCCCTGCTCCGAGCCGCTGCGGGCCTTGCGCGCTTCTCACTCACCCTCGGCCCCCAGGTGCAATGGGGACCCCCCTCGCACTCCAGAGAGGAGCCGCCTGGGCTGAGCGGGGCACAGAGCCCCTGGGAATGAAGAACCCAAGGGAGTCTCCCCGACGCCTGCCCTGGAGCTCCCCTCGCGGTCATTGGCCCCTCGGAGCCGGCCCCCAGCACACCGGAGGGGAGCCGCTCGCAGCTTGTCCGGCCTGGGCAGCGGGGGGCAGCTCCAGGACCTTCCTGCTCAGGTCACCAGCCAACCCCGAGCTCCAGCTTCAGCACCTCGTGGGGCGCCATCGGGGGGGGGGGCATGAGGCCGGCCCTGGGGTCCCTCCCGGGCATGTTAAAGGGGGGAAGGGAGTCAGCCTCCTGCTGAACCGTTAACTTTTCATTCCCGGTTGCGGCATCTCCGCGGGTCCCAAAGCGCCTCTGCGTAAAGCAGTTTAATTACCGGGTGGGGTAATCCTGCTCTGCGCCGCCCGACCGCCGCTGCACGGCGCTTGCGGGGAAATGTCTCCTCCGACTCGCGGCTGGAGGGAGCCGCGCAGCCGGGCCCCCTCGGTAACCGACTGCCCGGCGTTGCCGGTGGCGGGGATCGCCGCCCCCAGCGCAGGCCGGCGGCGCAGGGTCCCTGCACGGAACAAAGCCGAGCCCGTGCCCGTTACCTGCAGCTGGGGGCAGGAGCAGGCCCAGAAATGCCTCGAGGCACGTCAGAAGCGGCGCAGAGCGACCAAGACTCTGTTGACAGCTGTAATTTTCCCGGCTGCCTCGCGCTCGCTTTGCTTTGCTTTGCTCGGCAGGATTCACCTGCCCGCCCAGTGCCTTGGTTTGCTGCTTTCTTCTGAGCCTTCCCTGGCGCGCCCCCCGCTACTTCCTGAATTGCATCCCCAAGGCGCGACTCCGTGCGTGGGGTGGGCAGGGGAGGATGCCCACGAGCCCAGCTCCCACTGGTGTCAGAGAAAGACTGACGCCGGCTTCCCCCGGACTTTTGGAGGCGTGGTTTGGATTCGCAGAGACCTCAGAGCCTGCAACTCATCCTGAAACTAGCGGGGAAATCGCCCCCTGGCCGGAAAACCCACGGGACTCCCCGAAAAGCAATCTGTGCTGAGACGGGGCGAGCTCCTCACCAGCCCCACCCTGCCGCCGGTCCAGGGCATGGCACCGCTTGTCACTCTTCCTCCTCCTGGCTCTCCGGCTCACACGTCAGTCTGTCCGGCCACGCACCCGCGACTGCTGGGGGGGGACAATTGTCTTTCAATAAAAACAAGAACCCAAAGTCTCCCCCTGCGGTGAAATCTCGTGGGATTGTTTCCTCGCGTTATTATAACCGGCTCTTTTCTGCCTCCGTTTGCTCCAGAGAAGGCCCCGGCTCCCCAGTCTGGCCGCTCCTGCTCGCGGGGTTCCGCGTGAAGAAGGGCAGCGAAGGGAGATGGAAGCCGCGGCCCCAGCCCCACTGGGCAGCCCCAGCGGCACGAGCCTGCGCCTGGCGTTACACACAGCCCGCGTGGGTTATTTCAGTCCGAGGGAAGGGGCTGCAGGGCAGGGGTCTCCTGGGACCCAAGGGAAATCCGGCTCCCTGGGGAGCTGCCCACGCGGGACCCCCGGCACTTGAGTTCGGAGACGTGTTTCCTAAGGGCCCGGATTCCTTATGCTCCAGCGAGCAGGGATTTCACAGAGGTGCTCTGGAAATCCTCCGCCGCCCCCCAGTTCCCAAACTGCCCCGCCTTGTTTTGCAGCCGGGGAATCACGTTGCTGCCCATCGCTGGGTGACCCGGCGACTTCCACTGGCCCGGCGCGCCTCCCCCCGTGCCAACGCTCCCCAAAGGCGCAGGTTTCACGCTGGACTCTGGCCAGGTCTCCTTCACCTCCAAGTCCCACCCAGGCGCCCGGGGCTCTGCTACTGCTCCCAGCCCGACCACCTCTCGAGCAGCCGCGCAGGTGGGTGACACGGAGTGGGGAGCGCTCGCCCAGGTCCCACTCTCACGGGGCAGCGCTGCGCGGCTGGTTTCTCGGGATCCGGCCCCCGGTGGCCCCGCACGAGCCTTCGCTTGTAGGTGGGAAATAAACAAAATGATGCAACTTTGTTCAAGTCCTGCCACCGTTCTGCGAGCAGCTCAAAACGGGCGATTCCTCTGCGGTGCCTGGACAGCCAGAGCGCGCAGGACGCGCCTTACCTCCGCCCGGTGAGCGATACAGCCCCTTTCCCCAAGATTTCCGAGTCAGCTTCCCGTGCTCCGTCCGCACCCCAGTTCCCAGGGCAGAGCTAGAAGGGGGTCGCTAGGCACTGCCCCAGACCTGGCAAGTTGGCTTCCCTTAGGGCAGAAAGTAAGTTGTGACTCTGGCTCTGCACTGAGCCCCGGGGCACGGGCAGGAAGATAGTCGGACCCTGCCTCCGACTTTGCAAATGCACATTTAATTATTGTCCAGGGAAATCGTTTCGCCCCTCTGGAGCGTTTCCTGGATCCAGTGTAAACGGGGCGCGTGTCGTTCCCAGCCTCTGCAGCGCTCCGTTGTCTCCAGGCCCCTGGGGCTTGAGGAATTCCCCCCAGCTCCGCTCGCTCCCTCCTCCCCAGTCCCGGGCTGAGCCGGGAGTTACACCCCGGGGCTTGAGGGCAGCGAGGCTCTGACGGATGGACACGCGGCGGACGTTGCAACCCCCCTGCACTTGCCAGGAGCTTCGCGGGTTGCATATGGTGCCCCCCTGGCTAATGCCGAGCGCGGCTCTGCCAGCCCGGCTCGGGGGACGCTGCCTGGGGCTTTGCTGACGATTTGTTCGATAGGGATGCGGTGGGTTAGGGCAGCAACGGGAGCTCCCCAGCCGCGGGCTGGGCTGTGTCCATCGCTTCCCTTCGGGGTCACCACTAAACCCCCCAAAGAGCAACCCCCCCCTTTTGTCCGGGAGGGCCCCGCAGGCTGGGCAAGCCCTTCCTCCCTGGGATCCCGGGCACGCTGCAGGGGAGAGGCCGGGGCTCCTTGGCCTTCGACTTCCACAGCTCGCCGCCCTCCTCTGCGCTCTGCCTCCATCCTGGCCTCCCTCCTTTCTCCCCTGCTGCCTCCCTTGGCTCCATTTCCCGGAGCCCTGTTTTCTCTCTCAGCCCCTCCATTCCCCCCAGCCCCGGTCAGATTCCCGGAACCACGTGGGGCCCTCCTCCCTCCCTCCCCTCCCAGCCAACCTGGGTTAGCCTCCTGCCCTGGCCCTTCCTTCTCTCGTCCCAGCATCTCTTGCCCCCCCCGCCCCGCCTTTCTCTGTAGAGCCCGTTCCTTCCCCCCATCTTCTCGGCTCCTTCACTTCCCCAGCCCTGCGCCCTCCCTGGGCTCCCCTCCTCTCCCATCTCGCCGCCTCCCCCGTGTCCTCCCTCCCGACCTCTCCTCCGGCGGCGCCTCGGGGCCCAGAAGGAATCGCCCCCGCCGCCCTGCAGATCTCCAAGCGTAAGGGCTCGGGAATCCCAGCCAGCCGCGGTCTCCCCGAGCCGCTATTTCGGAGGACCCGGGAATGCGGGATCGGACGGAGGAGAACCGGGGGCTGGGATGATTCCTGCATCCCGCGTGTCACCCAGATCGTGTTACCCCCGCCGCCGCTGCCCGGGGGGCTCCAGGCCGACCTGCTTCTCGCCTCACGTTTGCCCCCTTCTCGCTCGCTTGCCCCCTTTCTGCCCTCACTGGCCGCGGAAGGGGTGGGGGGCAGACACCTGCCCCGGGCGCTCTGCTGCCCGCTGCTGGAAGCGCTGGACACGGGGCAGCTCCGCGCTACCGGCCGGGGCTCTGCAACTGGGGCTGCGCGGCGCTGCCCCCGCCCGCGGCCCAACAGCCCCCCGCTCCCCCCCCCCCGGCGCCTGCTCCCCCGCCCCTCTCTGCCCCCTGACCCCGCCCCTTTCTCGGTCTCCTCCCGCTCGCCCTCCCCGGCAGATCTGCACCAATCCGCGCGCCCCGTCTCCCCTTGACGGACAGCCGGGCCCCGGGGAGGCCCCGCCCGCCTGACGTCTCCGGCCGGGATTTGCATGAGTTGCGGTGCCGGGGCGGCTGGAGCTCAGTGTCTGCGGGCGCGGGAGGCGGAGTGGGGCGAGCCCGGCGCTCGGAGCCTCCCCAGCATGGAGCTGCCCGCCGTGGGGGAGCACGTCTTCGCCGTGGAGAGCATCGAGAAAAAGCGGATCCGAAAGGTGAGGCCGGGAGGGAGGCTGCGAGCGGGGAGTCGGGGGTGCGGGAGGGCGGCCGGGGCTCTGCGGGGCTGCCGCTGACGCCTTCCCTTTTCCCTCCCCCCCAGGGCAGAGTCGAGTACCTGGTGAAATGGAGAGGCTGGTCCCCCAAGTAAGTACCCAGGCGGGGAGCTGGGCTGCAGCTGGACCAGGGATGGGGGCTGCAGGAGCAGGATCTCCGGCCCAGCCTGAGATGCAGCGAGCCCCCCCGCCCGCACCCGATGCTTTCTGCTCCGGGAAATGGCACCGTTATTGCATGCTCCAAAAGAGGCTGGGGAGAGGCCAGGGGGGACCGGGGAGCCCGGCAGAAGCAAGGGGAGGGAGAGAGAGGCAGACGGTGACTGATGTGCAGCAGAAAATGGCTCCTTCCCCCTTTCCCTCCTCGGGAGCCAGGCTCCATATTGCAGAACTGAGCAGGGGGAAAATAATTTAAAACATGAAATAAAACGCCCCGCCGGTCCTGAGCCCCCGATCCTGGCCGAGGAGGAGGCAGGGGGCTGCCACCAGGGCGCTGCTACGGGGCGCGGGGAAGGCAAACCCTGCCTCTGAGCACCGAAGGGAAGGAGATGTTTGCGGGTGGCGGATATTTGGGGTTTGCATGACAGTGTCTTGCAGGGAGGGGCTGCTCTGGGGTTTGGACTCTGCTGCTTAGACCCTGGTCAGCACCACGGGTGTTAGTGGGGCTAGGACAGGGGCTTTGGGAAATCGCATCGTGACATGCTTAGAATTCTTCTGGAATAACAACTGCGCTAAATAAACACCCCCCCCCCCGCCCATCCCCCTCTCCGGGCAGCTGGAGTTCGAAATGCGCACTCCGCAGTGGGGCCAGGTGCGCGTGGATTCAATGTGCCTAACCTGTAAGATGGCCCCTGGCAGCTCACCGGCAAGGGGAGACCCCCCCCCCGTCTCCCTTCTCGGGGGGCGCACCGGTCAGTTGCTCAATGGCTCTTCTTCTCCCCCTTGCAAGATATAACACGTGGGAACCGGAGGAAAACATCCTGGACCCCAGGCTGCTGATCGCGTTCCAAAACAGGTGAGCGCTGCGCTCCTGCGCGGACCCGGCCTGGCAGCGGGGGAGGGGAGGCGCAGAACCCAGCGGCGCCGCTGGGGCTCGGAGCTCGGGGAGAAGGGAAGGGGCGTGGGGCGGCGCACCCCCGCGCCGGGTGGCAGCGGGGCCACTTTCCTGCCTGCCTGGGTTCAGTGGGGGGGGGGGACCTAGGGCGGCGCGGGGGCCGGGCCTTGCAGCCGGAATGCCCTGCGCCGCGCTCCGCTGCCGAGCTGGGCACTGGCGGCCCCGGAGCAGCCGAGCGCTCGGCCCCGGCCCCCTTGCAGAGCCGAGCCTTGCAGGAGCGCAGCTCGGAGCGAGCTGGCATTGTGCAATTGTGAATGCGTCACGGAACTTCACTTAACCCCTTCGGGGCCGAGGCAGGGGCTTGCAGCTCGGCAGGTTCGCGGGCGGGCTCCGGGCATGTCGGCTGCTGTGACAGGCGGTGTCACGGGTGCAGTAGCGGCGCTGCGGGGCGGGGAAGAACCGCCCCTCTCCTGGATGGAGATTGCACCTTTCGAGGGAGAAGCTCGCGAGGTGCAGTCCCGCCTGCCCGCGGTGCAGGGAGCATTTCCCTCGGCTAACGGCCCCCAGCCTGTCCCCGCAGCTCCCCCGCTCGCTCGCCTGCCTGGGGGGGTGGAGGCGGCGCTGCTGCTCCTCGCTCGCGTTTGGCGCATTATTTCCTGCGGTGTTTTGGCGCAAACTGTAAACTCGAGCCCGTGGCAGGCAGGCGGCTAGCGCGGGGGACGCTGCTCTCCCTGGCTCCGGAGCGACCCCGCCGGGGCGCGTCCTGCCCGGCCGAGTGCCAGGCGCTGCCGAAGGAGTTCACGACCCTGCGGCCCGGGCACCGCCGCGCGCACTGGCGCGGAGCAGATGCGCTGACTGCAGCCGCGGGCGAGCCTCTCTCGGCCTTGGGTCCCGGCCCTTCCCCGGCTGCTGGCTAGCGGGGCAGTGCCCAGGGCCCGTACCCACTGGGGGTCCAAATACTCGTCCCACCCCTCCCCCTACGGCGCACGGGTCGGGGTGGGGCTGGTCACTTGGAGGCGCCGCCCGGGCAGGCAGCCAGCGATGCTTGCCCTGCTCAGGAGCCGGGTACCCGGCGCCCGAGGGGTGACGGCCCCGGCCAGGGGCTTGCCCTGGCCTCCCCCCGACAGTTGGGTGGTTCAGCACCAGCGGCCCCTCCCCCCGCGGAGA